GTGCTACCTCCGTACAATGTTGGTTTTCACACACACACACACACACACACACACACACACACACACACACACACACACACACACACACACACACACACACACACACACATACACACATACACACATACATACATATGACGTATCAGCAGTCTTGCCTGTACAGCTCTCTCTCTCCTCTTTATCCGTCTTTGGATTTGTGTTATTATGATTGTTTATAATATTTTGTTAAAAATCTAATCTGCATCTGATCTTTTTTCTTTTCTTTTTTTTGAGACATCTACATGCTAGCTCAGTTAACAGTACCTCTGTGTGCCTGAAACCCAAAGCCTTATTTGGGGAGAGTGTCAGGGTTAAAGTGGTGAGTTCTAACGCGAGAAGAAGTGCAGGACAGGTCCAAATGGTTCTGCCAGACAACATTTACATATAAACCTGCACTCCACAGCAAGACTGAACCACTGAATTTAACGTTGGGGAATTGCTACCCAGCCAATTGTTCTAGAACGAGAGTAAAAACCTTTTTGCAGGTTCTAGAACCGGGGACTACAAAAGGCTGAGAGTTTTATAGCTCTGTAAGCCTGGTCTAGATTATGGTTGTATATAGTCTAGGGATGCATCGATACCGATAGATATCTGATAGTCGTACTCTTTCTCATAAAATTTGCTCTCATGCCAATATCTGACACCAGGTGATGCACTGAGATGTAAGCCTAGTGCACGTCGTCATGTCAACGAACTGATGACATGAACTGACCGTGTAGATTTCACGAGCGTTTCACAGCGCCAGATGAACGAAAAGAACAGCTCGTACCCGGTATGTTGTTCTTGACGATCAGCCACAATTTGTCCTTGACAACGAGGACTTCCAAACAAAACAGGCTCTCTACTGCAAACCTACTCGATCCAAGCTTACAATGTACCCTGGTTGTCTAAGTGCACGAACATGGCCAAGCCATGGAAACGTAAACGTAAATTGTTCCACAATTGATTAACACTAAGGCAAGTTACTCATTTTGCAATCGGTCCCGATGAGTAACAAAAAACAAAACTTTTCTGGAAATCAAAACAGTGGTATCGATGTATCCATAATATAGTCTGAAGGAAGTCCAAAGCCAAACTCGGGAGGGAAAGCTCACGAAGGAAAGCTGCAGATCCACGCACTCGTCTCAGACAGACATGTGGAAAGACAAAGTCCTGGAGTCGGCTGCCTTACTTTTGGTCTTAACATTTTAATCGTATTTTCCTCAAAGCTGTGTGCATTAGGTCTGTCTGATACATGACATACATACATACATACATACATACATACATACATACACAAGACATACATACACTGTATACTGTACAGCTGCATGTGCATTCTCTCAGGTACAAAGCTGAGCATGGTGTTTTATTATCATTTTGAAGCAGAATAGTCAAAAATATCTAGAAAATGTTAAAGGAAAATGTTTCTTACTATGTCATATTCATGCTGCCAATAAGATATACCATGCATTCATCTAGTGAAGGTCAGATATGCAATATGTAAGACTTACTGCGCATCGATTTAATCGTGAAATTTATGACTCAGGCTTTAAAAAAAAGAATACATACAAAGACAGAAACAAATCATATATATTTGTATCACTGTTGTTTCATTTTCAGAATGTGGTCATGTGTACAATGTGGATAATGAAATTGCAAATCAGTACGAGTTTTGTGCTGAGCCTGACCCAGTTCTGTCTGAGACCGATCCGCTGGAGATACAGGTGCGCTCTGAATGGTCAGGTTTTCCCCTGAACTTTTTCACATCAGCATTTGTACTGAACACATACATACAATAAAATACCGTCTACTGCCATACTTATCCGTCCAGGTTTGTATTAATCTCCTAACATTCAGAATTCAAGGAAACTTGACAGTTGTATTTATCGGGCTGAAGATCCCAGATCATACACGTTCAGAAGAAAGGGTACTAAACTGTACGTTTGCTTTTCACTCTTAAGGATATACCTTTTGTACCATTTAGTATGTATTTTTTACAATAAAGGTCCATTTTCATGTGTAGCTTTGAAGTATTACTCAAAACGGTAGGTACAGGATTGGTCCTTAAGGTTCAATTATGTAAAACTACATCAACATTACCATGTCTTATTAAAGATACACAAGACGTATACTTGCTTGTCAGTGAGGTGGTACTGGCGAGGTACAGTTTAGTACCCTTGTTTTTGTCATGAGTGTGTGTAACCAGCATTTCAAAGTGAACCGTTTCCTGGATTTCCTGATTACTCAGAGGAGGGAAAGCCTGACCGTTAAGTTCCACCTGGACCAGTTGTGGGTGATGTGGATTTTAGTGGACCATTCCTTAGCTTTCCTAAATACAACTTCATGAACACTTTGGAATTCCGTGGTTTCTCCAGGAATGGATCTTAAAATGTCTGGTTAACAAATTCTGAAATAATCAAGGTCATTGATGGAAAAAAAAAATGTATGTGAACCATAACGAAGATGACAAAAGCATAACTGGACGAAGGTTCTCCAGCAAATGAGCAAATGCTCCTGGATCTTACGAGAATCCTGAAAGGATTTCAGCTTCCATCATCCCACAATAGTTGCTCTGTCAATGAGTGGGTGTCCTACAAATATCTCGAGAATCCTCAAACAAGTCATGAAGAAGAGAACAGAAGAACAGAAGTGTTCGCTGGAGGTTAAGAAACCACATCACACCTTAGAAATGCTAATGCTAGTGCTGAGCGGTCCAGGTTTGGTTCAGACAAGTGACCACAACTGCCAGAAAGTGAATGGTGTGATTTCGAGAGAGGTGTGTAACCCACAACTGCACGGTTGTAACCCACAGATGCTTGGGTTTTGTCGAGTGTAACTTGTAAGTGACGTTGGATAAAAGCGTTGAAACATCAAGATGTCTTGTGTAAGATCTAGAACTCAGACTTGATGTCCCAAGATACCTCAGAAAGAGTGCAGAATTGATAAGGCACTACAAAAAGCATCTGGTTGAAGAGGTTCCTCAAATCTTTAAATATAAGGGTTCACATGTATCACCATCAGTGACCTTTATTATTTTTTTCTTTCTTTTTTTAAACAACTTATCTAAATATATGCACTTTATTGATTTCCTCCTATGAAGAGAGGAAGATTCTGAACCAGATTTTAGGATCTGTTTGTGCAGAAATCCCGATCATTGCAGATGGTTCATGACAGTTTTTTTTTCCTGATGCCTGTACAGCTAACTCACATACATGCAAACATTATAATCTCATCTTTTGTATTTCTACAGTCCCAAGCTACTCGATATTAAGCTAAAACACTCGCATAGAGCTCATGTCAAATACCATGCAGACTCAAACGACTAGGCTTAACCTTGTAAAGATATTCATGCTCGAATCGACTAGTATTGCCATATTTCCGTAGATTCTGTCCTCGTCCATTTTGTGTTGATGACTCTCTTACCTTGCTGAAAGTCGTTCCATTACACCTTTATTTTGTGCTTTGTATGTAGTAAAATAAATGTTTTGAGAAAATAAACAGCTGTATATAGTGATGCTAAAGATGTGTTGTTCATTGTGTGAATTGACTCGTGTCCAGAGGAGGAAATATTTTATCATTGTAATGCACTAAAATTCCTGTATATAAGCTTGTATATTATAAGGTATATACATGGGTTGTTTTTTTTTTACAGTGGAGCATTGGTGAACAAAGGTGCTCATTGGGGTTGAGGTCAAAACTCATGCCGTGTCTTCATGGAGCTCACTTTGTGCACAGGGGCATTGTCATGCTGGAACAGGTTTGGGCCTCTTATTCCAGTGAAGGGAAATTGTAATTCTATGGCAGACAATGATAGACAATTCTAGACAATTGTGTGTTTCCAACTTTGTGGCAACAGTTTGGAGAAGAACCACATATGGGTGTGTTGGTCAGGTTTCCACAAACCTTTGGCCATGCTATAGTGTATATTTGTTCTAAAGAGAATTTAATTGGATAAACACAAGACTAGTACAGGATAACGTATGAAAGATTTGTAATCACTTTTCGAGAAGCGATGAACTATAAACTTAAAATGAGTTATATTTTCACAAATTCATTGGTGTTCATAGTATTAAGGGTCAGGTACAAAAAGCTCCACCAAGTTGTGTGTAGAAAATGTGCATTAAGCTCTATGTGGGTGTGTTGCGTCAAAGGATTTTTAGATATTAGAATAAATACAGTGTTTTGGACTACTGACCCATTGTTAATGTTAAAGGAGTTATATGATGATTTTAAAAAGTTTAGTATTTTGTTTATTTGTTGTAATAAAATAGGTTAACATGCTTTAATGTTCAAAAAACACATTATTTTTCACATAAAATACATTATTGCAGTACCTCTATTCCCCATCTGTCTGAAACGCTCCGACTGAGTTATGGTTTTTCAAAAGTCCCTCCTTCCGAAAAGCCCAGAGTGCTCTGATTGGCCAGCTGACTGACTGGCCAAAAACCTTAAGCGTGTGTCAGAAATGTAATTTGCCATAATCGCGAGCTTCAGCTTCCAAGGCTTCTAAAGCGATTATAAATGCAGTAAATAACATCGTCGGTTTTACCATATCAATTCGATCCTGATTCAGATTCTCAAAATGCAGATGATCGAGCAGATCAATCGGAATTGAGCAGAATGTTTCACTGTAACTCTCTTACCTTTCAGATACAATAAAATAACGGTTTAATTTGTCTTCTTCACTGTAACAACTTTATGTCCTGAAGTGACAGCATAAAATACATCCATCCATCCTCTACTGCTTTATCCTTTTCAGGAGCCTGTCCCAGGGAGCATTGGGCACAAGGCGGGGTACACCCTGGACAGGGTGCCAGTCCATCGTACGGTACACAATCACATTCACACCCACACACACTATGGACACTTTGGACACGCCAATCAGCCTACCATGCATGTCTTTGGACTGGGGGAGGAAACCGAAGTACCCGGAGGAAACCCCCACAGCACGGGGAGAACATGCAAACTCCACACACACAGGGCCACGGTGGGAATCGAACCCCCGTCCCTGGAGCTGTGAGGTGAACGTGCTAACCACTAATCCACCATGCGCCCCAGCATAAAATACAGTTTTAAAAAATTACAATAATTAAAAATGATTAAATTATGGCGTATCATGCTGATATTTCAAATTGCGACGCAGACGTTTGCGGAAGTAACTTCTTTACTTGCATCGAGGCGTTTCGGGGAGGTCGGGATCAGCATTAGATTGAATAAATACCTTTTTGTGAGACAATGAGCTTTGTAACTTTTCAGATCTTATACAGGCACAAACAGATACAATATACTTTAAAGGAAAAGGAAAACATTAACTAGCATCACATGACCCCTTTAATGGTGTTACAGTATTACAAACAATGTTTTAGTGGACCATATCATAAAAAATTTAAAAAATTTGAATTCACACAGTACCTGATGTGGCGCTAACTAAGATCATCAAACATGTTTTGGGAGCAACTGAATTATTTCCTGACTTTAACCTCATTTAAGCGTTAGGACTAAATAATCAATGGGGATGAAAGTGAATGAATGAAGGCTTGTTAAGTTACATGTTTATGTGTAGCTCCGCCCACACCGGAAGTGGCGAAACGTTTAAGGGTCGCTTGGTGCGAGTGGAGGGGGTGGTCTTGCTTTTTTTTTTTTAGGATCCCCCCGAACATAATGGAGGTGATAAATTCACAACACGGCGTCGTTAATAAGTAGCGGTTATATTTACGGGAAGGCTTTGGAGTTGTTGTTTTTTCCTCGTACGGTGTTTCCTGTCATGTAGTCGCGTGCGCGTTTTAAGAAGTCAGCCGCGGGAAAGTTTGTTTGCCTTTTAGCTTGTTACCAGGTATCCGAGCTGGCACAAACATCCAGACAAAAGTGTCCCCGTTTCTAAAACACGCCCGAAACCTGAATTCTGCGCTTGTCCTTTGTTTTACATGGGTGAGGGAGAACCCCCCCGTCTTTAGACTGCTCTTCGGCTGTTCTCAGGAGGTGAGCATGGCTTTGTTTGTTGTTCTACACGTTGCTCGTGCACAGATCTTAACGTTATAAAGTTTGCATGGTCTAAATAACATGCTGTTTAGCAAATATCTCCGTGCAGTGTGCAGTCGCTTTGTGTGATCTTAAATGCTGTGCGGTTTTGTTTGTTTGTTACAGCACGTGCTCCGGTCTTGTAAAGAAAGACGTGCATTCACTTTTATTAAAATCAGATTTTCCCCCATCATCATCATCGTCATCATCCTGAAAGTTGCCATGGTGACTTTAGCGTTCCTATCTCGTTTTTTTGTGGGACATGTGCAACAATAATAAAACGCTTCTGACAGCGAGGATTATATAAACAGACTGCAAAAGGAAGGTGTGCGCCCGGAAGTGCTTCTTTAGGATCTTCCGGTCTGGTGCTTGTTTTCTCTGCTGTCCTTATTGTTCAGATCACTATTGGTGTATAATCTGAAAGAAAGCTTGTCAGTATTAGTATAGGGGTTCAAAGGATTGTTTCTTTTTTAAGCACTCCGCATTGTCTCTTTTTGTTTATATTTTTAAAGGATTATTTACCAGTAAAAGAAAATAATTTGAACTGTTTGTAAAACTTGTTAAAGAAACATTTCTGACAGACCCAAGTACTAACCCCCAAATTAGCAGCAGAATCACTAAAGACATCACGACCATTTGAAAATAAAAACACAGACTGTTTTTTAGGGTGGAGTTTTCCTTCAGGTCACGTGCTGCAACATCACCATAAACTAGTCTTGATGAGCTGTCGCAAGTTAAACGTGTTGTTGTGCTCTTCTACCTGATGAGGGGACTGGTAGCAGTCTTCCATAATGCTTATCCTATACAGGGGAGCATGGAGCCTGTCCTAGTGAACTCGGGGCACAAGGCGGGGGACAGTCTGGATGGGGTGCCAACCCATCACAGGTCACAATTCCACACTATGGACAATTTGGGGAATGCCAACTAGCCTACACGGCATGTCTTTGGACTGCAGGAGGAAACCCCCGACACACAAGGAGCACCCATACAGGAAGTGCGAGACAAACGTGCTAACCGTAAAACCACGGTGCCCTGAGACTGGTATCAATAGCTGCGTTTACATGGACAACAATAATCTACTTTTAACCCGATTAAGACCATACTCTTAAGAAACTAACATGTAAACAGCAGTTTTTACTTACCTTAATCTAATTAAGGTCATCATCAAATTAAGACAGGTGGAGTACTCCTGTTTTAGTTGTCTTAACCTTAATCACATTATGAACATCGTGAGAGAGTTTTCACTGCATTTTGTTGCAGGACACGATCACACATGGCAGTTTTACATTTTACGGAGAACAAGAGAGTTCGGCTGCGTCCCAAACCGCATACTTTCCTACTATGGTCCTGTAGTGTGGAAAAATACGTGCATCTCGGCTAGTATATACAGTGCCTTGCGAAAGTATTCGGCCCCCTTGAACTTTTCAACCTTTTGCCACATTTCAGGCTTCAAACATAAAGATATAAAATTTTTATTTTTTGTGAAGAATCACCAACATGTGGGACACAATTGTGAAGTGGAACGAAATCTATTGGATATTTTAAACTTTTTTAGCAAATAAAAAACTGAAAAGTGGTGCGTGCAAAATTATTCGGCTCCTTTACTTTCAGTGCAGCAAACTCACTCCAGAAGTTCAGCGAGGATCTCTGAATGATCCAATGTTGTCCTAAATGACTGATGGTGATAAATAGAATTCACCTGTGTGTAATCAAGTCTCTGTATAAATGCACCTGCTCTGTGATAGTCTCAGGGTTCTGTTGAAAGCGCAGAGAGCATCATGAAGACCAAGGAACACACCAGGCAGGTCCGTAATACTGTTGTGGAGAAGTTTAAAGCCGGATTGGATACAAAAAAAATTTCCCCCAAGCTTTAAACATCCCAAGGAGAGCACTGTGCACGATCATTTTGAAATTGAAGGAGTATCAGACCACTGCAAATCTACCAAGACCTGACCGTCCCTCTAAACTTTCAGCTCAGACAAGGAGAAGACTGATCAGAGATGCAGCCAAGAGGCCCATGATCACTCTGGATGAACTGCAGAGAACTACAGCTGAGGTGGGAGAGTCTGTCCATAGGACAACAATCAGTTGTACACTGCACAAATCTGGCCTTTATGGAAGAGAGGATATCCATAAAAAGTCTCGTCTAAAGTTTGCCACAAGCCACCTGGGAGACACACCAAACATGTGGAAGAAGGTGCTCTGGTCAGATGAAACCAAAATCAAACCTTTTGGCCGCAATGCAAAATGATATGTTTGGCGTAAAAGCAACACAGCTCATCACCCTTAACACACCATCCCCAGTGTCAAACATGGTGGTGGCAGCTTCATGGTTTGGGCCTGCTTTTCTTCAGCAGGGACAGGGAAGATGGTTAAAATTGAGAGGAAGATGGATGCAGCCAAATACAGGACCATTCTGGATGAAAACCTGTTGGAGTCTGCAAAAGACCTGAAACTGGGACAGAGATTTATCTTCCAACAAGACAATGATCCCAAACATACAGCAAAATCTACAAAGGAATGGATCACAAATACATGTATCCAGGTGTTAGAATGGCCAAGTCAAAGTCCAGACCTGAATCCAATCGAGAATCTGTGGAAAGAGCTGAAAACTGCTGTTCACAAACGCTCTCCATCCAACCTCACTGAGCTCGAGCTGTATTGCAAGGAAGAATGGGCAAGAATTTCAGTCTCTCGATGTGCAAAACTGATAGAGACATACCCCAAGCGACTTGCAGCAAAAGGTGGCTCTACAAAGTATTAACGCAAGGGGGCCGAATAATTTTGCACGCCCCACTTTTCATTTTTTTATTAGTTAAAAAAGTTTCAAAAATTCAATAGATTTCGTTCCACTTCACAATTGTGTCTCACTTGTTGGTGATTCTTCACAAAAAATAAAAATTGTATATCTTTATGTTTGAAGCCTGAAATGTGGCAAAAGGTTGAAAAGTTCAAGGGGGCCGAATACTTTCTCAAGGCACTGTAGGCGGTAAGTATGCAGTTTGGAACAAGCCCACGGCTTCAAGCAGTTGTCTATTTGCACGTATAGCATGACAAATAATTAACTGCATTAAAGCGTTCGTTAAAAAAAAAGAATAATAACAATAATAATAAAAACACCCAAAACTATATATGGTACCATAACGAAGATGAACTGTATACTGATGCGTGAAATTCTGGAGGGACGGCGTGGCGCGGTGACGTAATGACGCAGGCTGTTAATCTAATTATGTTCTAGAACATGTGAAACGGGAACATGACAGGAGTCACTTTTAGAATACTCCTGTCAACACTTTAATCACATTATCTTACTCAGAGTAAGGTCAATAATTAGATTAATGCTGTCCATGTAAACGAAGTCACTGAGAAATTTATCCACAAGTAGAGGTTTGATTTAAAAAATTAAGGCAACGAATGTGTTTTCTTTAAATAAATATTTAACTTCGGCATTGGGCAACAATCCCTGGTTTGATTCTGAGCTCAGGTTAGTATCCGTGTGGAGTTTCACATGTACTCCCTGTGTCTGGGTTTCCTCCACGTTCTCGAGTTTTCAATTCAATTTTATTTGTATAGCGCTTTTTACAGTAGTCAGTCTCAAAGCAGCTTTACAGAAATAAAAAACAGGTATAAACAGTCAGAAACAGATAAACAGAAACAAACAGGTATAAAACAAATGGAATTTATCCCAACTGAGCAAGCCACTGAGTGGCGACGGTGGCAAGGAAAAACTCCCTAAGATGTTTTTTGAGGAAGAAACCTTGAGAGGAACCCGACTCAGAAGGGAAACCCATCCTCATCTGGGTAACACAGAATGTGATGGTAACACAGATAATGTGAAAATGAGAAGTATGGCCTTAGGAGCAGCCGTAGTCCCAGCAAAAGATTTGGTCTCCTCCAGAGGCAGAAGGGATCTGGATCTCCAATATCCGTAAATTCGTGTGGGGCTCGGCAAAAAGAGAGAGAGGGAGAAAAACGATTAGGACTGTGAAGTAGTGAGATATAATCTAGTCAGGGTAAGCTTGAGTAAACAAATATGT